AATAGTATAAAAAATACTTTAAGAGCACTGACTGCTCTTTCAGAGGACCCAAGTTCAATTCCCAGTACTCACATGGCTGCTTACAACTGCCTGTAATTCTAAGATTTAACACCCTAACACAGACATGTTTACAAGAAAAAACACCAATGCACATAAAATAAAAATATATTATTTTGAAAAAATTAACTTTATATATCATATTGGACAGTATGATTATGTATACTATATTAATAAACATACATATGTATGCATATAATATTAAATTACTGTGTTTAATAATAGATTTTTCATATATAAGTCATATTTCATTAAAACAGAAATAATTTATCTTCTTCAATAGATGTCTGGTTAAATAAAAGGGCATTCTATGGGAAAGCAGTTGAGTGTGGTGACCGAGCAGTTAAAACTAGAGATTTTAGAAAAAAATTGTAATTAAATGAATAACTTTCAATGAAAAAAGTTCACTACTTTTTTGTTTTTAGTAACTATTAATATGGAAGACAAATTTGGTTAATTTCCATGGTAGTTAGATACAGGATACACAATATTTATTTAGTGGGGTTTGCAGGCAGAGAAAATAGGGAATATATAAAGAAACGATTAATTACAGGCAAAGAAGGTTAAGATTTTTATTTTTTTACTGGAGAAAAAGACATTATTGAGTAAAAGAATTCATAGCTCAGATTAAGAAACACCCTTCACATCTAAGGGGGTGCTTTTAAATGATGGAAGAATGTAATAGCAGAAGAATTCTAGTCCAGACATCAAGGTAAGAGATAACACCTGTCCAAGGTAATAAAATGCTAAACATGTCTGTAGGACTTGTCTATGGGTACTGGGGACTGATAAATATTAGCCTAGATCATGGTCCAACAAAATATCAAACATAGCAAAGGTGGGAAGATACAAACTTGCCTTCTGCAAGCCTAGATAAAATTTTAGAAACTATAAAATTTGAACAGCAGTGGCAGCTGAATATTATCCAGTGACTCAGTGATCATTTTCAATTCTCTTGGCTTTTTCTTTGATAAATAAGAACTAGGCTTTACTGGCATTCCATTGGAATATTTTTAACTGAAAGTAATTCAAGGATTATTTAAAATTCTGGATAGTCTTATTACTTAACATATCTCCACCACTCCCTGTCCAGAACATATATAAATAGTCACAAACACACTCTTTCCTCCTGGGACTTATGAGGAGAAGATGACTCAAAAGGGTTTATATTATTTCAAAAAGAATGCATCTACAGAAGCTCTTATTAGTAAGTCTGCACAGACACAACCGTAAAATGTATTCCAATGAGGAATTCTTGAGGAAAGAAAGAGTAACAGTAGACAAGCAGAGAAACACACACACACACACACACACACACACACACACACACACACACGACAAAAACAACAAACCTCAGAAGGGATGTGATTGATTTTTTTTCCCTAAACAGCCCTGCTCCCTGAGGTATATGCAGATGGGCTCTGCAGAGTTACATAAACCAGTGCTGCCTTATCATCTTTTAATTAAATTCTTTCAGTTTTGCTGGTGTCAAGTAACCCTCAACCCACAGCTACTTAGAAACCTTCTAATCTCATCGCTTCCCTAATAAAATAATTTCTTCATGCCCAGTAAATGGTCTTGCAGAATACAGCCACCCATTTGATTTTCACTAGCTAGAATTGTGAAGAGTTTTTTTTTTTTAAACTTTTCTGACCTAAATTACTTTCTGGCATCTTTAGCAGTGGTCTATTTTTTTCTTCTCTAGGTCAGATACAGGCAACTTTCTTAAGAGGAAATAATGTATTTATTATTTGAATGCTGCATTTTTTTCTCCCATTATCAATGTTCTGTACCCAAGGTAAATGAGTCTATGCAGGTCCAAGTCCATTTTCTTCTACTGGGTCTTCAAGCTATCTGTTTCATGTACTATTTACATTTTGCTTCAGTTGTTCTAATTGATAGATCTATGTCTAAAATTCTGTGTCTTCAATTGAGTCCAATGTTGTAGGAGCAATTTATAATATCAATAACGATATTATTAGGACAAGAGCTATTGCCTAGTCACTGGTCCAAGCATGGCACAGAAATGTTAACTTGCTTACCTCAGTATCTCTAAACATAAAAGTTTTGTATGGTTAATAAACAATATTTGGAGAACAGCTGCTGATACTTGCTAAGTTCAATGAAGAAGCTGTATTAACTATTCTATCTGTATTTAAAACAGCCCTCATCACTGTATCAATTTAGATCAGAAACCTATCTGCTCACTACCTCATCTGTTCAAGAATTTCTGACATATTATGAGGTGGTGCTGCTCTTACAGTAGTCATGGCCTAGGTAGTCCATACTGACTTAAAGTATTAAATAACTTATGCTGTCCATATTATTTAATTAATAAGAACATTGTATTTTATTCTTTCCACTATATCTATAATCTAACTATGCCTAGCAATTAGTGGCCAATGAATGCTTAAAGAAAGTAATTCTTGAATGAATGAACTGTGTATTACTTACTCCATGCTTCCTAGACATTGGTTATGCCATCCTTACTGAACGTGAGCCAATATACTTACTGTTAACATGTTGATAGATAATAATTATTTAAAAATACTATAGGGGACATTGTAATTTGAGGACTAGGAAAAGGAAGGAGTGGAGAAGAGGAATAGTGAGTAGGAATGAGAGAAGGAAACATGGATGGAGGGAGAAAAATGAGGAAAGGAAAGAATCTGATGACTCCCTTGGTTACTAAAGGATACAACTGGCTAAGGGGGATATCACCTAGATGCCAGGCATACCCAGAAAATTCTTGTTTGAGGAATAGAACTTAAAAACATTCATCAAAATATAGCAAATGTTAACATGTCACATGTATTGTCAACACAGCATATTTCATTTTCTACAATAACAATTATCTATTTGGATAAATCTGAAAGTACCAATTACCTTAAGATTGAGACACTGAGACAAAAGACGACTTAATTTGGTCTATCCAATTAACAGTGTCTTTATTAAGACATACTAATGATCTATGATCACAACAGTCAAGTTATTCTGCTTCTTGGGAGCTAAATGATACTGAAGAGATATTTTGGGGTCTGTTTCTTGGGCTATAAAGATGCAAATATTGCCAAGTACGCCATTTCACATAGCAACAAGAAATAGAACTGAAGAATATAAATTTAAATAATGTATAGTGTTAATTTAAAACTAGGCATTTTTCCCCTTGTTCAGGTCAGCACTTTTCAAATTGTAATATAACCCTTGAGTATTGCCTGTAGTTGGCATTCCTTATTTAAAATAAAAGGAACCAGGAACCAGGACTTTTTTTTTTTTTTTTTTTTGAGAACAACAAAAGATCAGTGAGCGTCTTCCATCTGTGCATAACTATGATTCTTTATGAGCCCAGTAAAATTTTACCTTCAAAAGTATCATCATAATAAAAAATAAGTGGTACCCAGAAGCAAACTTTTTTTCCAAGAAATTGTCCCACTGAACTTTTGAAACTGTCTAAGAATTTAGTCTTTGAGAAATATTGTACCATAAGTTAAGCACATGTAACATGCAATGTTTTCCCAAAGATATTTACATAGAATTAATTATTGAAATCCTATAGGTCCATTTCATTAACTAGATTTTTAATGCTAAGAACAAATTTGGAAATAATGATGAGTTAGAATATAAGCATGCAATTAGATTTTTTACAAGTGTGTTTAAATTTAATTATGCCAAAAAGCAGTCTTTTATAAATTAGTAAAAATGTGCCCAAAGCTTCATCCATGTCTGCTTAGAGCAGTGATTTGGAGTCATGCTGCTTGCCATAGCTTACTTTATTCTCAAAGGCATAAAACAGCCTCTCCGTCAGCCACTTGCTGTACAGAACAGTGGATTAAAATTGTCTGCTTCCAACTATGGAGTGGGATAAACTATAAAACTGTTCCAAAGCTTTGGTGGAGAAAAATAGATTAAAATATCCTTTCCCTTTAAACTAGCTAGATTTCTGGATTGCAGAAATATTAAAGAATCAAGATTTTAGCCCACCAAGCAGGACAGATGACTAACTCATCATCATGAAATTCATGGAATTCATGGTGCAGAAAAGCAAACATTAAAAAACAAGTCAGCATCATAAATAAAATAAACAAATATTTACACCGAGGCAAATATACATACCACAGAGCACATGAGCACATACACACAATCCAGTCTTGCTCATGCTATGTTCTATGTCCTTCCTCAAGTATATAAAGATTCCAACACTGAAAATACTGCTTCAATGCAAAAACATAATCCATGGTTCAACTTACAATCAGTCTTCATGGCTGCATTCCATATTCACTTAATAAATGTAAGGGCTAACATTTATGAGTTTTAAGGACAATCAGAATATTTTATGATATGCTGTCACCTTCACATATTTTCTCAAGCTTGTTTTAATTCTTTGTGCAATATCAGATTTTAAATGCCTGAATAACAATTGATGTACTTCCATGGTATGAGTGTCTTTTTTTTTAATTGACAGATCACATTGTTTTTTTTTTTTTTAATATTCTCCACAGGATTTAGATATAGTTATAAGAAGGTAGCAGCATTATGCAGGGGAGATGCTGTAGTGAGATAGTCCTTCTGTAGCACTGACCACGCCCATTGGGGGGTGGAGCCATGGGCGGAAGTGACCTGTGGAAGGAGGTCGGAGGGGGCCAGGAAAGGCTCTCTCTTTCTGGCGTGACTAGGACAGGAGAGGATTGGGTTGAATTTCCTGGTGTTCATCTGTCTAGGTTGTAAGTTATTTCTCCCTGAATAAACATCTATTCGGCCTATTTGTTTATCCTGATCCTTATTTACCACAATACGATGCTGTCATTGTCTTCCTGAACCAAAGTTCAAATACTCCTATAGCAACTTACACTACCATCGATGTAGACACAGTCCTGTATAGCAGGTCTGTGTCTAAGGTGAACCCCAAACCAGAATCCAGCCCATCTGGATTCTCAGAGACTTACAGCTTTCAATCTCCAAGGTGCAGTTTTGTTCATCCAGTGGATACCGCCTTAGGTCCATCATGCAGGCAGCTGTAGTTGTGATTCTAGAAGAGAAATGGTAACATGTGTTGTTAGTGGTTAAAGCCAAGAACAGAAGATGAAAAAACAAAAAGTAGTACTCTAGGAGACTAATTTCTCGCCTAAGTTTCCATGAAAGGGAGTGATGAATCTTTTGAAGACTGTTTTCCTTTATAAATCACCTGTTGGCTTCTGAAGAGATTGAACAATGTAAGTATCCAATGGGTCACTAACTACTTGAACCTGAATCATTTACCTGTGTTTCTAAGGCAATTCTCACAACTCTTCAGAATGCCTTGAGGGTGAGGTAGTTCTAGCTGTATCTAAGGTGACTAGTGATTGTAACAAAAAAAAAAAAAAAAAAAAAAAAAAAAAAAAAAAAAACCAAAACATTCCACTGAGCATAACATTTGTTTCATTCCACTCTTCCTAAAGACTCTAAAATATAATCTTCTGCCAGTCTTAGTTTGGATCTATCATGCTTCATGCTTTTCTAAATCACATTGTACATTTTAAATGTCATCATTAACAAACAACACATGCCCTTCTATCTATGCCTGAATTTTCTCTCCTAAGTAACTTCGTATTCTCTTGGCCATTTATAAAAGATTTTCTTCTTTGATCTTATACCAGGAAGGAATTGATATGCTCCTTTGGCATTTAATTTCTTGGTCATTGTTTCACACTGATATTTGTATTGACAGCCTACTAGGAGCCACAAAGCTTATAGTTGTAAATGATTTACAATGTTTCAACACAATATCATTAAAGAACATAAAGCTCTACACTCAGGTATGAACTCCAATTCTGTGGAGAGAAGCTAACTGAATGTTCAACACTTAGTAGGCTTTTAAAATATGAGTATCTGCTGAAGGAAACTACATACAGAAATTAAAACTGGATTTGACCAACCAAGGTTTGCTCTATTTTGAGAAACTCTGAGCTCTGCTAAAAAACAGAAAAATGAGATTGAATATTGTCATGGAAAAAAGAGTCTAGGCTAAACTTTGTAAACTGAAATCATACTGTGAGGAGCTAAACAAGTAATCCATGTAGCCTCACTCTGGGAACACACTCAGGTGAATGTCAGAATCAATCCACAGTGCAGACCAAGAATAGGTAATTTGTTATTCACACTTATGTTTCTTAATTTTAGTTTAGTTGTTGTTTATGATAAAAAATGATCCTCAGCGAAGGTTCCTTGCTGATTTCTTCCTTTACCTTGTGAGTCCTGTTGGTCATTCTACCTTAAGTCTCTACCATGCCACTGTCTCCTATTAGTCTGTCCCCAATGCTTCATGTACAGTTTAATGCAGGGGCTAGACCTCATGACTTTTGCATCTGTCTCACTGCTTCCATTGTCCACACAAAATAAAAGGTAGATTTGACCATGCCTCTATTTAAAAATTTTAGTGCCTGTTCCATGGGAATCTGAAGCTCTGACTTTTCCTACTATGTCCTACACACTATGTTCCTCTTCTTCCTTCCCATCATCATCCCTACTATGTTTTCTTACAATGTCTGTCAGTCTTCACTTTTGTTCTCTCTGCCTACATCATCTTCTGCCCCATGCCTCATCCCAGTCTTCACAAAGTGCCTCTCTTCCCATCTGTCACTCAAAGCCAAGGTCCTGGGAGAAGCTCCTCCCTAGAAGCTTACACAGGGTGATTGTCTTAACTCCTGCTCCTTCTTAGCTTTCTGTTCACAATTCTCAAGCAATTACCACAGTCTGGAATTAGCGTACTAATTGTTTTCTCAGAACAGTCTTTTTCTTTCAATAAGCTCCTTATGGGCAAAGACTCTGTTCAATTCACTGCAAATGCACTCAATAAATATCGGCTGAATGAGAAAACACATTAATTTACAATGAGGGAAAAGTTGGATTTATTCATTATAGGTCTTTGCATTTGGAAGATTATTTATTACACTACTTATTTTTTAACTTAAAATGTTACTCTGTCTTAGGTTAGAGATGTTCCTTTTATGGTTTTAAATAATAAATGGAATCTAATTAATTTAAATTATAAGATATAAATTATACTAAAGTTTTTTATCAATTCAACTGTTTCATCTTTCAATGAGGCTTATGCCACATTTAAATTGTATGAATTATATTAAAATTAACATTCACATTTAAATTTTAGTTTATTCTGGCTACATAACACTTTGATGGAATTTTTTTCTTGGCTCACTATTTCCTGTTGTAATTTTTGTGTGAATTGATAGACTAATACTTTGTGGATTGCCACTAACCTACAGATTATAAAAGAAAAGGAAAATGAGGAAATTATGGGCATTCCGTATCCCAGTGCAGTTATGTAAAATGGTTGAATAGATTTCACTCCTCCAAAACTAGAGGGAATTACTTATCTGATATATCTAAGTCAAAACATACAAATGTTACAGAGACATTACTACAACTTCAAAAAATGATAGAAACAAGTACACAAAGCGAATTGTGTAATTGAAGTTTATAATTGATGTTACAGGTTGTGGCTCACACCTCTAATGACACATATTCATGGCAAATAATACTCATGACCTATGCTATATGTACCAAGAAAAACAAACACACTAAGGCTGTCACAGGAAAAATAAGTTTTCTCATGTTAAAAAAATATAGTATAAGGAGATATGGCTGCAGCTATAGCTCTGTTAGTAGAGTATTCACCTAGAATGGATGGACTCCTGGGTTCACTTCACAATGCCATAAAAAAAAAAAAAAAAAAAAAAAAAAAAAAAAACAGTTATGGCTAAAGAGGAGAATCAGAATTTCAAGATCAAAAATGGTAAGTTTGAGACAAGACTGGGCCACACTTGTTGTCTAAACAACAGTAAAAAGTAAAAGGCATTTTTCTCACAATACCCATGTTATATATTTTTTATTACTTCCTTGTTTTATTTTAATATTTTTAAAAGTTATAACACCAAAAGCTAACAGATCCTACAAATATTTTATATTTATTGTTTGCAAAGATTTTTGTGTCTTCTATTGGAATAAGGTCAAAACTTTTGAAGCAAAACTATCCCTTTTAAATTTTGATCATATCCCAAGGAATGGTGGCCTCAGACAGGTTATTGGCATTCTCTGACAAGTAGAAAAACTTGCCAACAAAGTTGACTGTAGGATGACAAAAGGAAGGTATATGTAATCTGTCTATGATCAGATGTCAAGACAACAAAGCAGAAATTTTTGTTCTAAATGAAGAAATATAGAGCACCTCATGTGTCCATTGCCAGCAAGGCAGAACTACATATATATGAATATAATAGTGTCATCACAAAGATATGGAAATATGCTACACTATATGCTTATCATGAACCTGGACCTGTCCCAAGTGTTCAAGGAGTTTAGAAATCACATATTTTGTCTTATTTGCATTTTAAACACATGTGCCTGACACATGCCATGAATTCAAGATTAAAATAATAATAAATGACCCAACAAAACAGAGAAAAACACTCCAATGTAAGCATTGATTGACAAATTAAGAATTTTAAATTGATGCTTTAAATTTATGGGCCAAATATAACTCATTGAAGGTTTTTTTTTTAATTTTTAAAAATTAAAATCATATTTAGTGAAGAAACTACTGTGCAATGAATCACATTCAGAAAACAGTAGAGGCAAGCATCCATTCCTTATTTATGATAGGTTTGAGATTCTCCAGAATTGCAACAGACAATCTCAGTACTAATAAATATCCTTAGCATCATCAAGCCTTAAATCACTCAATAGTATTACTAGTGGGTCTTGAAAGAGAGGTTCGTAACCTGTCATAAAATTGTCCTGGTGAAAGATAGCAATGTCAGAAGCTACATACACAAATTCTCATCAACATCACTATACAAACGTGAGCTGAACAAAGACTCCACTAATAGATATGCAAAACCGTACCTGGAAAAGTCCATGAGCTCAACCCTAGAAAAAGGCCTATGGGCAATAAAGAAATTCTGAGAGCAAGAGAATTAGTCTTCCCCAAGGAAGAGCACATCAATTGGTTATCTAATATCAGTCAGCCCTGAAAATATACAAATAATGTTATGCCGACTAGTTAAGTTTTAAGACTTAACAATATGGAAACAGCCTTGATTTTCAATCAAAGCCAACAGTCTGTCCATCTCCAGAATGTACCTTACTTGTAGATAGCCTTCAATGGCCTATTTGTAAACACTCTCTATTAAGCTAAACTCTTTTTAAAAACAAATATTTTTCTTAGAAATGCCTATATTTATTTGGACTAAGAGGTCACTGATAAACTTCACTAGTCATCAGCACTACTTCCCTATAATTTCTTGTGCTATGAAATATTAACATAAAGAAACAAAACCACATATCTAGCATATCCTTAGGATTCACTAAGGCATTTATAAATCAAGAAATATAAAAGCTAACCCAACCTAATAAAACTTTTGTATCAAAGTGCTAATTGATATTTTATTATTCTAGAATGTATGCATTATCATTCAAATTAGGAATAAAGATGGCCACTAAGCAGAAATAGATGCCCTCTTTACTTACACAAGATGAAAAACTTTGAATCATGCTCAATGTGACACATTGCATTGGAATCATTAGGATATTTGGGGGTTGACAGAATGTGCAGAATGTGAGAGAGTCTGGTTGGAATTTCAAACAGAGATTGTGAGCACATGAATGAAATAATTTTTGAAAATGACTCCGATTTCTTTAACAGATTATGTTATACTTAATTCTTGAGAAAAATATGATTTTATTCACATCATTGTATGTTTAAAAATATCAAGTGTCTTATCCTGAACTAGATTTGGTTCTAATGAACACTGTGGGTTTATTTACTCAACAAATACATTTACTCAAAAATCCACAAACCATTATAACTGCAAGGGAAAAATGATCTTCTACCATTCTTAGACAAAGTAAGCAGAGGAAAATAAAAGATTTTTAAGATAGGAAAATGAAGAGATGACTTAGAAATTAAGACTGCATACTGCTCTTGCAGAGGACCTGAGTTCAGTTCGTAACAGGCAAATCTAACAGCTGACA